TGACAATTGAACCAAGTTTCCAGTTTCGCGTCTTTCATGCTCCCACCCTGAATTTCTCGAACTCTGAAATAATAAATATATTTAGTCCGTCGCGCCGATCATCTAAAGAGCTTTAATAAATTATTCACATACTTACAATGAATAAAGTGCATAGATTATATAATCCTTATCATGATGCTTTTCGTGATCATAATTGTTACCAAACATCTTTGACTTTATGGTCTCTCGAATCTCATTCAAATTAGTCTACGATAGGAGAAGGGATTGATGACATTGTTTCAATACACCTATCTTTGCCATTAACAGTAAATGAATTATTACTTTTCCAGCGAACTCATATAGAAATTCAGCGATTTGATCTGGAAGATCAGGTACGTGAGGGCCGGCGGCATAATCAATTTCGTCAAGTTCTGTATCGCTGAAATACGATGAGATTAGTTCGTCATCGACGTCTATAATAAACGAGTGAATAGCACTATGAAAAAGGAATGAGACCACAATTTAGTAAACTTATTCCTACACGAACATAATTTATGCATGAATACTAACTGCTCGAATTCCTGTTCTTGACCTAGTTTATATAGCTCTTTTTCGACGAATCTTCCGGTCGAAAGTTTCCACATGCATCGTTCGTCCATTGACTTAAAGGCTGCATCAATTTCCTCTCGATTTTCCTTGCTTAGTCTAAATGGTCCTACCTAGACAGGAGAAGCATATTCGTAAAAAAAAAAATTTTTTTAAAATCACCAATAAATATTTACTTTGTTTTCCTTCGCTAATTTAATCACTTTCTTCGCCTCTTCACCACTGATCGCATCCTTCACCTCCTCTTGGTCTTGACCATCAATCGCCTCCTTCAGGAGTAGAAATGGTGAGAATAGTAAACATTTACTGCGAACAACACCCACCAGATATAATTTACCTGTGTATCGAAATCACTTTTTTCAGAATCATCATACTCAAATACAGATACTGGACCCTGCGATTCAACATTATCTTTTGAACTAGAATGATAATCTACTCCGCTTCTTAATCGACTTTGCCCTTGTTTATCCTTCTTGAGTCTTTTCGATGATCGCTGGCATTCGTCCACAATTTCATCTCCAACATCCTCCCCTACAACTTGGTATATATCAATCGTTTTTGTCCGAACAATTCCTTTTACACGATTCTATAATGAAGTTTGATGATTTTGATTATGTTTATTCATAAATTAACGTGTATAAATAATGGTTTCACTTGCCTTCTTGCGTTCATCTATTAATTCCTCCCAATATAAACGAGTATCCTGTTGGAAATAATGTATAACATGAATAATATGACATATGAAATCAAGAAGCCCTATAACGCCTAACCCCATAACATCACAGAATAGACCATGTCGCAAATAATGAGAACTAGGAAAATGTGCCTATACTCTGGATTCAGGTAAATAGCTGTCAAGAGGTGTTCTTCATTATCACTTGGGCTAGGAAAATGTGCCTATACTCTGGATTCAGGTAATATCTGTCAAGAGGTACCCTACGGTCAACTAAATTAAAATACATTCACCTCTTCCGCGACCGACAGTAGATTCAATTTTTTTGTTGCCTTCGAAAATCGTCTGTACCACGCACCATTCAACCCTTTCCAATCTTCTGTTAATGGAGGACTTTTGACAATTATGTGGCGAGCCGATTTCAAAAATCCCAAGTATGACACGGAACTTGGTGCAGTGCTGGTTAAGTAGGTTTCGAGGACTATTGAAAACAAGATACGATCAATTAGTGCCTATTACGTAAGAAGTATATTTTGAATCAATACTTGCCCGTTCGACCGGGATATTGCTTTGTTGACATTATAGCTGATCTTTGCGAAGGATATAACAAGTCACGTAGATAAGATCGATAACGACAACCAATCATATTTTTGGTGCAGAATTCGGCATCGGCATGTGAATATGCTTATGTAATTTTCCGATACGTATACAGCATGATTAACATCTACAGTACAGTATATGGTGTCACGTCTCACTTTCTTACGCTAGGCAGATAAAAGGATTCACTAACAGGGAACAGGGACATATATAATTTGCAGGATCGATTTTGGTACACGCTTAATTTAACAATAAAAATAATTTTACGCTATCCCATGAAGTTGTGATCCCCTGACTCGACAAAGGGGTTTTATT